CATCAGCTGATTCAAAATGTGGCAATGAAAGTGCTGATGCAGCTGCCAGAGACTCCATGAGTGGAGTATTTCTAGAAGAATGTCTTATTTTAGATGTGATTTTAAATATGTATGATGTATGACCAAATTAACAGACTAATTATTAACAAGTTGGCCTTTGACAATTTCATCCACATCTATAAAAAGTTCATATTTTCAAATTGGCCATTTTATTTTTTGCGATCTTGTCTTTGGAAAAATGGAAGAACCTCAAACTGGCTTGAGTTTAAAATGTGTGTGTGCATGTGTGTATGTGTGTGCATGTGCTTTTGAGCTTGTGTGCACATTTGTGCATGTGTGTGTTTGCATGCATTTTGTGTGTACATGTGTTTATCCACACATTTGCATGTTTGTGTGTATGTGTGCACATTTGTGCATGTGTTTGTATGTATGTTTGCATGTGCTTTATGTGTATGCGTGCATGTGTTTGTAGCCAAGCAAATGTGTGTGCATTTGTGTACATGTATATGTTTGCGCATGGTGTTTGTGTGTATCTTGGCATGTTGTGTTTTTGTGTGCATGTGTGTGTGTACGTGTGGCAGTACATCATGTGCAGAAGTTGGGTCACCCAGTCTTGCAGATGTGACAGCAGTTGAGGGCTGCTAAGGAAGTAGCACCCTGGGACCTGGTGGCTGTTGGAGGTCTGAAGAGGTGGAGGGAGACGGGGATGATCTCCAGGTTTCTGGCAGGGACAGCTGTGTGGTTTGTGATGTCATTCACTGGGCGGGAGCAGGGTCAGGGGTGAAAGTAAAGTAAAGCTGGGACAAGCTGAATCGGAGGCATCTGAGACATGTATGTTTTGATGTCCCGTAGGTATTTAGAGGGAGGCAGGTCAGGGCATTGGGGACGGACCCGAGGAGACACCCACATTTAACAGACAGGCAGAGGAAGGGGCTGAATGCCAGAGGGGTAGGAGAAAAACCCTAAAAGTGGGCAGGTGAGTGACAAGGTGGGGAGGATGGATTCACTGCGTAGGTGCTGCAGAGAGCCCAAGAGCAGTCAGCACGTGTGTTGGGGGCGGAAGCCAGTCTGAGAAGGGAACGGGTGGGCGAGGGTGCTACTAGCAGGGACCAGCCCCTTTTTGATATATAATGTGAGCTGTGCCTCCACCCCACCCACTCCCGCCCTTGTTCGCTTTCATTCCTTTGGAAGCTGGGCCTGGGAAGGGAAGAGCTGGGAGGAAGCAGGCCCCCAGACTGGGTCGCCATGAATGGCAGCCGCAGGAGCCTGGCACACTCTGGACCCTCTCCTTTGAAACCCAGAGCATGCTGAGGCCTAATTAACCAATAGCTCAGAAGCACCCCCTACTCTTATTCAGAAAAGGACACAGCACCATGGAAACTTCCCCCAGATTTTGTAGGTAGGGGCCATCCCTCAGGGCTGAGGCCTGGGCTCCCTGGAGCCAATGGGAAGGTGCTGGCCAGAGGCCATTAGCTGGCGCCCACACAGACAGGCCAACTCATTCCTCATCCGCACCGCTTATGTTCTGAACCCCACGGCAGTGCTGAAAGGAGCTAGGGATTCAGATTCTTCTTTTTTTCTTCTATGTCCCCTAGGGACCCTGGAGGAATCGCATACTTAAAATCGGGGGTAACTCTCACCCGGCCTTTGAGGAGGCCCATGTGCTCCTTTCCAGACTGAGCTGGCTCTACTTTTAAACTGAGAGAATTTCTGAGAGCACTGAAAACCAGTGGCAGGAATGGGGACGAGGGATTCTACCTGTGTCCGTGCATATATGTATGGATATGTACATTTACATATTTACATGTTGCTTTATACCCCCACCCAAGGTGGGGTGCAGGTCTGAGGTTGGACCTTACTTCTCTCTGCTCCTCTAGCCAGCTCTAGTGAGAAGCCCCCATAGCTGCCTCCTTTCTGCTCCTAGACCTGAGCCTCACGGGGAGATCACAGCTGGTGGCCACAGTGGCAGTGGGCTTGTGGCTGGGATGAAATGTCTGATGCCCCATGCTCTCCATTGTCAGAGGCTCCTTAAGGCCCTGCCAGCTCCTCTGCAAAGCAGAAATTTCCAAATGAATAACAATTTGCCAGCAAGGCACACAGGTGATTGGGATACAAAGATGGGCTCAGACAAATGCCAGAGCCAACGTACAAGTAATTGTAGCAGCATTAGGAAAACTCAACCCAGGATTTAAGGTCCTGGGCAGGCAGCCCCTGGAAACAAAGCCACAGGACGCACCTTGTTCTGTGCAACAAAATATTGGAAAACAAAACCCAGATATCAATTCTTCTTCTTCTTTTTTTTTTTTTGGTCACTGCCATCTGTGTTTGATTCCTAAGTAAAGTAAATTATTCCTTCCCTGTTCCTAAACAAAAACTAAATAGAATTTGTAGAAATACTCCTTCATTCACACACATTGTTGTTTCTCGATGCTCAAGTCCTCAAGTCCAAGGAAGAGAAATTCAAAGAGGGACCGGGTGTCAACAGATGCCTCAGACTCATACATGGCAGGGAGCTGGCAGTGGGACCCCTTCTCTCCAGCTGGCTCTCAGTTTCCAAGCCTGTGCTACAGCCAAAGCAAAATGCCAGAAGGCCAGAGAAGTGGGGTTTCTGAAGCAGGTGGAGTGCAGCTTCTGTGCAGCATGAGCCATGGCAAGAGCACACCTGGAGGAAATTAAAAATGAAGGATTTACAGGGCAATCAAGACGAATACCCTGCAAAGCAACTTTTATTTACAAAGGCTGATAGTGAGTAGCATGAGAATGAAAACCACATCCCTTCCAAAAGAGTCACATACAAATTATGTCTAAGATTATTATAATTCTAAATAAAAAATGCCAAGATGAGAGGATACACTCCTTCCTCTCCTGAGCCATCTTGATAGTTTCACATTTCAGCTTCCAGATATAATTTCTCTCGCTTTTAAGGATGCTTACCCAGCCGTGGTCTGCACCAGAGCAGGTAGCTGGCCTAGTGTCGTTGCTGCCAGCAGGCCCTTGGGGACTCAGCAAAGCGGGAGCCTTGAGAAATAGCTGGCTTGGACCCATGGCAGGGTTTCTGTGTCAACTCTGCGGTCCTCAGAGAATCTGAGCCACATGAGAGCAAAAACTTCCAAAACCAAAGGAACCATTTTGTGATTACTTTAGACAGGTTACAATGGAATTTTTATTCAGATCTTGAAGGTTTTTAGTGCTTTCTGCAAAAGATATTTATTTCTCAAAAACAAAGCAAAGCTCTGCTGTACTTATCTTGGTAGATCTGAGCTAGGTTGGCCTATCTTTTCCTAATTCAGCTGGTCTTTTTGCAAGGAAGAAGGTTGCTGGTCCATCTGAGGGATCAAGTGCATAAGTCCTCACTTCCCTTGTCAGGAGACAAAAACAGAATACGGCCAGCATGTGCACTCAGGGTCATGTGACTACTTTAAAGAGTCCCTCCTTAGTACATGGACAAACAGGAAACAAAAAGAAGCCCCTAATACACGAAGCTACTTTGTCCAAATACTGGGCCCTGGACCAGAATTTAGCTTTGGTTGGCTCTGCCCACCAGTCTCACAGTCAGTTCACCCCTCAGGGGACCTGGGGGAGCTGTTGTCCTGGCAGTCTTCCCTAGCCCCTCCGCCCCCCTCCTTGGTGGGGACCACCCAAGCCTGATGCTGCAGGCCTCTCTCTGGAATCACACTCCACATAGAAACTGGCTGCAGAACACCACTGAAATCCACCTGCTGCTCTATTTGTGCCCTATGCACACGCACCTCGCTTCTGCCTCATTTCTGCCAGTTTCTGGGTGGCCTGGCTGGTCCTCAGTCCTTCCCCGCACTTTCTCCTCAGCTGTGTCTGGTGGGTGATGTGAAACGAGAAACGCAGAGGGCCATGGCACTGCCTGGGTGCATATTTATAATCACCTGGTATCTTCAGAGAAGCAACAGGACAGTCTGCACCTGGCTTCTGTGTCTGGGGCATCCTCTCTCTCCCATCCTGGGTGAGAGGAGCAGCGTCCTACAAAGGCCCTGCAAGGGCTGGGCCCTATGCCAGGCCAGCCTCCCCTGCATCTCTGGAGATACCCCTGAAGACCTCCACATAGTGGCTCCATGGAGGAGCAGTGAGCGGTGGGGACAGTGCCACTGGTGGAGGAGCGAGTGGCAGGGACAGTGCCTCTAGTTGAGCAGGGGCGGTGGGGAAGACACCCCTGGGGGAGGGGCGCACATCTGGTGAGGCACCTCAGCTCCCTAGCTCTGCTTCACAGAGGCCAACTCAGCAATGTCCAGTCACCAGGTGTGCCTGCTGCCAACGCAGTGGAGCCAGGTCTAGGAGATTTTCACGTTGTCTGTTACCGCTTGTTTAAGTGGGAGGGAATGGAGAAAGGATATATTCCTTTAGTTGGACTACCTACCCAGCCTCTCCCAGCAGGTCAAGTTTTGTTATTGTTCTTTAAGTTCAAGGTGATGTGAAGGTGTTGCAGTGAAAATCAGGGCAGAATGAGCAACATGTGCTGCTCAACCTTCACCCAGAGGGGCACACACCTGGGTCTTTGGCATCTACCGCTGAAGTCGAAGTCCCTTTCTCCTGGACTCTCTCCTCTTTCACTCTCTGCCAGAGAAGTTTGTCTTGTTACCTTCCAGGGCCCCCGCTCATGGCCCAGCCCCGCCCACAGGTTGGCCCCACCTGTGATCAGCCCTGCCCATGGCCCCAGCAGGCTGGTCAAGTGTGGGACGTGGACCGCTGTGAGCAACCTCAGGGACGAGGTGCCTGTCTTGCAGAGCAGCACCATCACAGGAGGGCAAAGTTCAAGGCCGGCTCCTGCGATAGGCCCCAGCTCTCTGGCTCCTCTTCCCCTCCAGTCGAAGCCAGCAGTGGCTCCCAGTCCCTACAGTGCTAGAACCCCTGGTCCCAGGCCCTGGGACGCCCTGCAAGCTCGTACCTGACGCTTTTGCCATGGAACAAAACTGCTCACGTAGTGCCCGAGGGACCACAGAACAGCCGGGCAGGCTCTCCCCAGCAAAGGGGATTGGGTGACCAGCACTGGACACTCAACATCAACTGAAGACACAGATTTGAGGTATTGTCATTTACTGAGGTAGCTTCAAAGTGGAATGTTGCTTTTAATAGATCACAGTGCTGCATCAAAGGAGGGCAGACAGGAAAATTTACATATTTACAATTCTTAGGAGCATTTTCTTGGGAAACTCAAATCCACGGGCTGATCTTGACCGTCTGTCTCCTCAGTTCTGCTCCCTGACAAGGCCCCCACAGGTCGTGTGCACAGGATGGCCCTTGGACACCACGCAGAGCCTGCCCGGGTGCCTGAGTCCCCTCCTGCCCCCTCTCCTGAAGCAGAGATGTCCCCAGTGGTGAATCAATCTTCCCTCAACACCTACAACCTAGAACTCTATGTCATGAGTTCCTGAGAGTAAATATCTAATGCAGAAATGTCTTTTTTTAATTGAGGGAGAGGGAGAAGCAGCCACAAAACAGAGTTGGGATCCCTCCCTGCTAGCGAATGTGCAGGTACAGCAGGGACTATCTTTGGCACTCTTTGTGCTTTAGTGGGTATACTGGCTCCTACACAGCTATAGTTTTGAACCCAGCAACCAGGGAAGGATGGGACAGAGCCCCAAGCAACGGACCCAAGTGGATGAAGTGGAGGCAAAGGTCTACAGAAGGCTCATGTCAGCTATAAATTCCATCAAGTTACCAACCAGTTCAGTGAGTTTTAAAAAAAAAAAAAAGGTCTACAGAAGGCTCATGTCAGCTATAAATTCCATCAAGTTACCAACCAGTTCAGTGAGTAAAAAAAAAAAAAAAAAGAAGAAGAAGAAGAAAATTGATTTGGCAGTCCACGGACCAAATAAAGAAAAAAATTAAATAAGCCAGGCCCTTGGCTGGATTTTTCCCCTACCCACTATACAAACAGAGCCTAGTGGAGAAAGGGTCCGGGCAGTGGACTGTACGGCAATGCAGGTCCTTCCACTTTGCTTGGCCCCATCCCAGAGTGACTCTGGAGGACAGGGCTGAACTGGGGAGACCCCTCACCATGTTGGAGCCAGCAGCTTCCTGACCACCATGGAGGAGATCCCTAGCTCAGCCTGACTTCCGCCTCTGATGGTAATATCAGAAGGCTACTGTGCAAAGAGGATCAGGTGATCTGTTGGGGAAGTGGGGCACCCAGGGTATTAAACTATCTCTAGTGGGATAAACCCCTGGGAGAACCCATCGGTTCAACCTAAGAAAGAGTTTTGTAACATGGATCTCTCCCAAGATGGAAGACCTGTCCTAGGAGATAGGGATTCTGCAGAGGAGACTCAGACACCAGACCTGGGCTATGCAGGGATCTAGATGCCCTTGAGAGCCTGCCCAAGGCTGAGGCTCTCCATTTTTACCCTTCAACGAGGGCTAGTCTCACAAACAACCAAGAGACTAGAACTGTGAGCTTCTAAAAGGAACTGTCAAGCCGCTGGGCCTCTGAAGGGATCAGCATGCCCAGCTGTGGAGCTTGTGGCCTGCTCAGAGTCTCTATACATCAAGGGTGATGGGCACGTCCCAGACACAAAATGAAACTTGCCACCCCCATGAGACTTTGTCCTCTCCTGGAATGAGAGGACTGCCTCTTCGCCCTTCTCCCCCTTGGAGTGACCCCAGAGGCTAATGAACCTGCCACTGGGCTAGACTTTTCTCTGATGCTTTGCTCAAAAGCAAGTGTGATGCTGCTTCTGTGAATATCATTTGGTATTTTTTTAACTCTTAATCTACCCAGTGACAAAATTCCACACAGACTCCTTCCTAGGAAGGGCAGCCCTGGCGGCAGCACACCAGGGGATCGGGAGGATTAAGGAAGAAAGGACTGTGCAGTGGGGGGGGGGAGAAGCCCATGGAGTAAGAACTGATTTTGGGACTCTGGTATCTTCAGCTTCTCATTAGCTTTTGAAATGACTGCATTTTATTGTGGGGATGGGGAGAAGCCTGTCTCATCTCTTATTCTTCCCAGAGGTACAGCTGGGCCTCTCTGCTTAGCTTCCTGGACCAAGGAAGGAGCAAATTCTGGTTGTCACTAGCAGCACTGGCTCCTGAGATGGCAGCTTCTCCCAGGTCAGGGTCAAAGGCAGGCTATAAGTTGCTATGAGACAGTGTGTCTTTGCAGGGCTCCCTGGCTGCCCCTCCCTCCCCCCAAATTTAGGGTAGATGTGTCCGTTGGCACTAAAAAGCCACCCTCTGAACTGCAGCCTGAGATGGAGTGATGCTACCACTTGGCCTTCCCCAGAGAATATAAAATAAAGGCATCTGAGATTACTTACACAGATGGAGTGATGCTACCACTTGGCCTTCCCCAGAGAATATAAAATAAAGGCATCTGAGATTCCTTAAACAAACAAGCAAAGAAAACCGATGAAAACGTTGAGGTGTTAAGTAGGTATTGTTCTTTTCCTAACAAGATAAATTATCTTTCCAATTTTAGTTATTATGTCCTCTCCTTTTAACCCTAACCTATCCCTGACAGCCACCACCAGTTGTAGACAATGATGAGGGACCTAGAATGGGGAGGAGATTTTCTTCGTGGGCAGATATGGAGCAATGACAATATCATCGGAGTCATCAGAGTTGATGTCATCCACAGGACGAGGCACCATGGGCTGCAGCCCCGAGGGAGAGGACTCTGCTGAAATGAACCAGAGAGAGGGAGGTCAGCCGCGCCGACTGCACGGGGTGGGAGCACTCCCAGGGCTGCCTGTCATGGACACATTTGCATTATCAGCTCTTCCGTGGTGGCAAGACTGAGGACACATGCAGAAGTAGCAAGCCACAGGACAGACCTTCAGAATCAATTTGCACATTATGCCAGAAAGCCCTCTGTGACTTCCTAGCCTTCACACTTGGCTCTGAATATTTTGGCATTTCCCCAAATCAAAACACCTGCAAGAGGTGAAGATTTGCCAGCCCCGAGGAAGCTCAGGTCTGGGCTGGAGGAACTCCCTGAAAGTCATTCTCACAGCATCGTCCCAGGAGTCTGAGCCTTGGGTGGGTGGCTGGAACTTGTGTGCAGATGAGGCTGGCAACCACCTGTGTGCCTAAGAGCCAGGTTCCTGGTTAGACATGCTGGCTTCCGACTGCATGCAGGACAGGAGAGGCAATACCCCGTGCTCGCTGGCAGCTTTCAAACTGTTTGGCTATTCCCCTATTTATGCTACTTTTTTCACACACATCTAAACTTTTCACAATCTTTAATCTCCACTAGAATAAGACGCCACCTACAGATGGGACGGGAATGGGCGACCCCAACTGGCCACCTTGCACTTGGGGAAACATATTGAGGAAGAGACCAGTTTCCACCACACCAGAAGCCCCATGGTTCCTCGGAAAAGAGCCTTACTCTGCTTGAAAAAATGACAGTAAAAAAGTAATCAGTCACTGAGTTGAGGTTTGAAAAAAGGGAAGGAAATTAAGATTTAACCATACTGTAGATACTGTAACTGTGTCAGTTTTCTGCAATTTTTCAAGAAAATTAATATTAAAGTGGAACCTTATAAAAATCAAAAACATCATTTTTCAAGATTATCTTCATTTTTTCCTTTAAAAACACAATCAGCTCAAATGAGGGCTTGATTCACGCTTTCCACACAGACACATTTCCTTCAGTCAATAAAAGCTGAATATCTTGATGCATTCTGTGATAATACTTTTAGACAGGAGGATGAATCTGCCACTTTAAAGTTACTTACATTTAACAAGAGGATAAAAGGGCAGCATAAATAAACACTTTAGTCCTTATCAAAGGATCTAAAGGTCACCAAATGCAGGGTCTGGTGAAATCAGCACGAATCGGGTTTTCAGAAACTAATTTAAAGGCTTCTGGGGAGCCTGAGAGTTACAGGATGGCCCAATGGCTTTTCAGCCTTCGTCAGTCTGCACATCTTTCCTTTAAATTCCAGGGCTGCTAATTTTCGTTCATTGAGCTTTATTCAAGGTTTTGGAGAAAATATCAAAGTTCAAAGTTTTCTAGCTCTGACAAAGCTAGAAAAAAATGACCAAAATAGATCAAATGTGATTTCATATGTGATGATTTCCAGGTCAAACATGGTGTAACATTCTCAGCTCACGTAGGAGATTCTCCAAAAGACAGCCCCTAACTGGATCTCTTGGGAAGGGAAGGATAGCACCCAACATAGACAGAGATTGCCAGGCTGAGGGCCCAGTCACCAGGTCTCATGCAGGCTCAGATTTGTGGCTCTGCTCCTTACTCTGTGGCCCTCCTGTCATCAGAGATTGAGAGCGACCCCTTGGGAAAGTGCACCCTCTGCCCACCGTTGGCCCCCACTTACCAGAGCGGGGCTGTGGGGCTGTGGGCTCCTCCCCTGGCTCGTCCTTGTCCTCCTCCTCCACAGCCTCCCTGCTGCTGGCGTCACTGTCCTCCTTCCCTGCAGGGACATGCACTGAAGAATCTGTTCTGCACAAAGGTGGCCTCCATAACGGACAGGGCCTGTCACCCTTCACCCATCTGTCAGTCTCACCCTCGCACTTTTTGGTTCAGAAAAATAGCTTCCTGGTGTAGTTCTTCCTCCACAGGAAGTGCTATTCTCTCCCCTCATCTTCCTCCCCTGATCCCATCTTTGAGACCTAAGGACTCAGTACAGAAAAGTCCTTTGCTCAAAACTTTCCCGTGCAAGGTCAGTTTGATACCACAGCACCCCTGCATGCCGTATGTGTAAATAAAATCTCAAGACTAAATTTCTCTGCTTAAGGACAGTCCCAAATCTCAAAACAGTGCCTTTTAACTTGTATTTAGCTTTACAATAATAGTCAAAGCAAGCAGCAGTTGATGAGGGTTTTCTAATTGCAGAGTAAGGTAGAAAGGATCTGAAGTACATTCATAGAATCATAGATATTTGGGGGCTGAAAGCAACTTTCAGGCTGTCTAGCCCCATTTTCCAGTTTGCACACAAGGAGACTGAAGCCCAGAGACAGGCAGGGACCTGCCGGGGAATGACATATCATTAGCGGGGTGAGCAGGGACAAGGTCTCCCACCTAGGGTGTGACATCCTGCCAGTTCCAGGGATTTTTTCACTGCTTGTTTTGGGGTTTTAATAAAGCCATAAAGGAAATATGAGCAAAGTTTTACCTAAGAAACAAACAGAAAAAGAGGAAAAACACTGGTCCAAGGGAGGGAATCACCTAGCTCCAGTTGGAGCTGAGAATAAAAATAGACACAAAAGCTGTGATGCTGAGACTGTGGGGAACCCAGCCCTCATCACTGACACAGGAACTGTCTCCAGCTGCTGAGCTCAGGGAGTCCCTTGGGGCTCTTCTCTCTTCTCTACAATCCCAGGGACAAGGAACGAAGCTGGGAAAAGGGTGCTTGGTTGAGGGTCGTCCTGGCTTAGGTGTTGCTTAGTTTGGAGGTAGGTATAGGGAGGTTTGTCCTTTATAGGGCCCCAAGCTTCCTGGAAGGTGGCCGCTGTAGCTGCCCCTAGCATCAGAAACCAAAATGAATGAAATTACCAGAAGCTGCAAGGAAGACTGAAGAGGAGGTTTCTTTGCGTGTGGCTGAAGCAGATCTCCTTTTTGTAGAAGCTGCGATGGTTGTTCTTTTATTGGCAGCACTGGAAAAAAGAGAAAAACTTAGCTGATTCTGACTTTAAAGAATGTAAACCTCTCTAAAGCCTACAGCAGGGCTCTCTAATTGCCTGAAGGCAACTATCCCAGTAAAAGCGAACTTCACAGCCTGCCCCATACACCAAAGCCAGCCCTGTCCACGACGGGCCCTGGTCCTGAAACAGGCTGGCCATGAAGAGCCTCTGATGTGTCCTCTGTTCATCTCTTTGTGGCACATGCTGTGAGACCAGGCCAGTGGGAATTTTGTAAGCTGGCCTTAGATGTCTTCCTTTGCCCCTCTTGTCTCTGGGTAGGGCCAGCGCCCATTCCCTGTGGATGTGGTGACAGCCACGCAGCTTTCCACCTCTTGGTCATGGCTGATTGCACCAGGGGTGGGTCCCCAACCTAACCTGGGTCCCTGGCGTGTCCCAGGTCATATGGTATCAGGGGCATGAGACTCAGACATGGCCTGGCCCTCCTTTTGCAGAGAGAAACTGCTGACTCAAAAGCAATGGGTGGCTGCCATTTTTTGCCATGCAACTGAAAACAGAGCAGTTGTGCAGGAGGGAGAAAGTGTCTGACCCGTGGAGTGAAGCAGAGCAGGGAGATGCCGAGAGAGTGAGCCTGCACTTCCCAATCCTGCCTGGCCCACCCAAGCTCAGCTGCCTGGTACCCGCAAGACAGGCTTGTCCCGACTATAAATTCCACCCTTTGCCCAGGTTGACTTAAGTGGGGTTCTGATTTTTGTAATCAAGAGAGTCCTAACTAATACACTGGGAGGTCTGCAGGAATGGTGCAATTTAGAACTAGCATGTGTTGCTCTAAGAAGGCTTCTGATGACACCTATGTCTTGCTGAACACCAGGATCATGTCACATTTTTCTTTAAAAAGGGACAATTAGCACAAGCCAACAGCCAGTCCACAAACTGATGGTTACCTGAACTGTACGGTATCTAAACCCATTCTATTTGTTTCCTCCCAGTATGAAAACAACTCTAGAAAGGCCTGGTCCTAAGGACCGGAGCTTGTGGCCCACTCTGCACGCACAGTGCAGTAGAAGTTTTTCAAAAGGTGTAACTTTGGCTATGGCTATAGCCAAGGTCCTGGCTCAAAGCAGTGTCTGTGGCCAGCACTCCCCTGTGGCACAAAACAGAGGTGTGCCTGTGACCCTGACTCACCTGTACCTGGCCCGGGCCATGTGTGCCCGGAGGACAGACTGGACAAAGATGATGGCCTCCTCTTGCCTTGGGCTGCCCTTGGCCTGGGCGATGGAGCTTGGGATCCAGGGCAGGGAAGAGCTCTGCAGCAGACAACAGGGAAGAGAACCATTTGGCAACCCTCTGCCAGCTTCGGACAAAGATGATGGCCTCCTCTTGCCTTGGGCTGCCCTTGGCCTGGGCGATGGAGCTTGGGACCCAGGGCAGGGAAGAGCTCTGCAGCAGACAACAGGGAAGAGAACCATTTGGCAACCCTCTGCCAGCTTCAAGTGTGGCACCCTGGGCATCAGGGAACCAAGAAGTTTCCTTTTCAGGTGCTCCACCTCCCC